ACACCCACACCCATACCCATACCCACACCCACACCCACACTCACATCACACACCCACACTCACAGCTATCATAGGAGGAAAGTCTGTTGATAAAGGTCAATCAATAATAAAGTTATTCAAAAAAACAACATTTTTGTGTATGGACTTGTGAAACACATTGTACATTTGTTCATTTATCATTTAAACCAAATGTTTATTAATTGTTACCAATGTTTTCCATCAGAACTCTGAAAATCATTGAAAATGTTAAAGTAATTGCCATAAACGTGTTAAAATGATGAAAGTTTCAATTTCTCTCAGCATTGAAACATCCAAAACACGTTAGAAAATATTAATCTTAAACTGTTCTAACGTGTTTATGACGACTAATCAAACATTTTTAACACTTTACAAAGTGACATGTTTAAACGCCGGTTTGATCGTTAATATGTCTGCCTGAGTTGTCACACATCAATATATTAAAGCACTTAGTCAGAAAAATAACCTTTGTGAAGAATTAAAGCTAAATGAAAAGTAAGCATACTCTTTTTTGCTTCAAATAGCTCAAATAGTCTATTTATTCGTGATGAATATCAATAGGGGAGTTGAAAAGAACTTTTTTCTAACATTCATTTTTTGACCTTTAAAACGAAATACAAAGCGCATAGGTTAGTTGTATATATGATATAAGACAAAGTCACGCTATTTAAAATAATAAAAAATAATGTTAAATCAATGACTTTGCTAATTTCATATTCTTCTTTTTGAACTCTTAATGGATTAATTTCCCTTCATTTGATTTAATGAAGGACTCTTCTTTTTTTTTCTTACAATATTCTCATGGTTATATTCTAACCTTCAGGAACTATTTGTAAGAATGACGCAACAACGATTTATATATTTTTTTGTTTTATAAATACTTCTAATTCTTTTTACCAACAAATTAAAAAGAATATGAACAAGGATACTTTTGATGTTATAAAATAAGTGTTTGATATTTGTATTTATGTATGATGTCGTTCATGCTTGATTGAGCATTTAATATTTTTATGATAGATATATAAATTAATGATCATTAGTTCTATTTATTTTAGGAATTTATTTCTACTTTTTCGATTTGGAAAAATGGCAGATTTTCAAAATAATGGAGTTAATCGTAATGACAGAACCACTCTAGTCCGAACAATTATAAGTGCGAATGAAAATTTGATTTTTTTTCATATCCATCTTCATTTCATGATGATATGTTCTCTGGCTTTTAATATACTATAGACTGGTAAGGATTGGTCATATAATGGTAAATATATGGCCAATCCATATCAGTCTATAGTTTACGAAAAGCAAGAGAACATATCATCATGAAATGAAAATGAATACAAAAAAATCAAATTTTCATTCACACTTTTCATTGTTTAGACTATGGTGACGTTGATCGAGACAGATATACGGCTGATCCATATGCTTCATATGGAACTGCAGCAGCTAGTGACTTGATTAGGGGTAATGGCCAGGTGGTTAATACACGCAGTTTAGAAGAAACAAATCAGTATCTTCTAAGATCAACTGATATTTATAAGGATCCTAATCCACAAATTCTTCGACGACCAGCAAATGAAGGTCCAATAACATGTGAACAACGAGTTCATGTTCGATATCTTCAACCACCACCTGTTTCAGAGCCAGGAGTAATGAAACAAACGTTTACAAATTCAATCTTACTAATGTTTGTATGATTTTAGCCAATCATTATTAGAGAAGTGCGTCCACCACAACCACCACCACCTCCATCACTTGTCATACGCGAACATCCACCACGTCCTCGTTCACCACCTCCACTTATCCTACGTGAACGACCACCAACAGCACCACCACGTATTCCCAGTGAAACAAGTAAAAAAAATAACAAATTTAAATTACATAGATTAGATTAATCAATGTATTTTATTTTACAGGTGTTCGTTATTTACCTGAAATACCTGTTCCACCAAGATCAGTTGTTATCGAACGTCTTCCACAACCTCCACAAAAACCACGTAAAAGAATTATCTTCAGTTTCCTTTCTGTTTTTTTTTATTTCAGATTGTTGCTGTTTTTTTTTTGTATTTAGGCGATATTATAATTGAACGATGGCTTCCCTATGCATCTCAATCTCAACGTCGTACAGTTTTTGAACGTGCTCCTCCTCCGATAATATATCCAGAACCGCGTAATACGGTTGTTATTTATGATGCTGCTAAACCACACGTAGTCCGAAAATTTCAGAACCTTGGTGTTAGCCCAGAAAATCCTGCCGATTATGTAGCTCGTTATGGGGGGTCACTTTTAGATCCAGCGACACTTGTTCAAATGGCTCGCGATGCTGGTGTTCATGAAGATATAGTAAAATTTAAAAAAACCTTCAAAAAAAAATATATATATATAAATTTATTATTGTAGTCACCTCCGGTTCAAGGGATTCGCTATCCTGGTTATTATGAAGAAACAGTAAAATTTTTTTAAAAACTTCGAAAAGAAATATATAAATTTTTTATTATAGCCGTTTCCGGAATACTCATCGCCAACGCGTACAACTATACACAGAACTATTATTGATGTTAATCCGCCAAATTAACGAGCTTCGTAATCGTTCAATATTTCGTACATTTCCTATATCTTTAGAAATGGTCCTATAATATCCTCTTTTTTAGACATTTGTCCCATATTTCCTATATATCTTGAAAAAGTAGAGATTCTTTTTAAATAAAATTTATTTCAATCAAATAAAACACACATGCTTCTGTGCATATTGCTATTAGCTTTCACAATAACACAAATAGTAGTTAGTGACACTATAATATTGTTTGACAGATGTAACAATGGATGTAGAGTTATGAGTGAAGAATTATCGAAAGTTACAGAAAACTTAATTGATATTCAAAAGAGAAGTAAAGATGCATTCGAAAACAACAACATCACCAAGAAACAAAAGACTATAGTTGATTCAACGATCAGTCTTGATTGAAAAAGATTTTTTCTTTTTCTTATCATTTATTTATATAATATATATTTGTTTACGCCATTTTTATGTGTATTAAATGTCAATAATTATAAAAAAAAACAGATAATACAATTTGTCGAAGGAATAAGCGCAACACCTATATACCAGATTATGCTGGAAAAACGATGAGGTGCTCAGAGTTTTGAAAAACCAGATGGAAATTGAGATTTTAGCTAGGAATGAGAATTATACTATTCCGTTCGATTTTTTCGATCAAGACAAAAGTATTTTTCAAAAATAACAATTCTTCATAAAACTTGTCCGAATATTTTTGAGGCTGAGGTACTCAAATTTACAGATATTTCTCGAAACTCTTGAGTTTGATTTTTTTTTTTTGGTCACTATAAGCGTTCATTTTCTATCAATATTCAAACATTGTCGATGAGAGTCTTATGGTTCTCGATGAAGTATTCGACAAAATCTGCGCAATAAAATTCAATACAGAGGAATGAACGATTTTATTCTACCATCTTTCAAATATATTAGTGATCACTGATAACTCTTATTGAGAAGAATCGCTTTACAAATTATCAATGGCTAGCAGTAACTTTTCTCGTGTTTTTTTTGACCAATTATTCCATGGATCAGTGTATGCCCTAGAATTAATTTCAATTTCAATGAAAAAATATGCCGGAAAGAGCAATGATCATCGATACGATCTTGGTTTTTGTCGAAATTATTTCTAAATAAGAGAATAAAAATTTTAAAAGAATGAATTCAATATGATATTTGAAAACTCTTTATGTAGATAAACAAAAAGATCTTGTAAAATATAAATTAGAATTTTACAGCGTGAAATTTGATATTCGAGTCCATTTTACCAATTGGACACAATCAAAGTGAAGTTTAATTCACCAATGCTAATCTAGAAACGAATAATTATTTGTCCTTGAGGATGTGTGAGTGAATGTAGGCCTTCTTATCATTCATACTTGCATTCAAATTCAAATATGGATTATTCAAACCATTCTGAAAAGGATGAATTTCTATTGATTGCTGACATGTCAAAGCACATATCATTATATTTTCAAAAATTTCGACTATGGAATAGAAATCACCAGATGAACAACGAAAGAACTACAGCAAATAGAGATGGATAAGTAAGTCAATCGATTGTTGATTTAAGTGAAATGAATTCAATTTCTTTTTTGACTCGACTTGATTTGAGGTTTTCCAAGATGGCTGAGCTGAATTTGTGATTTGATCATTTCTACTTCTAAATATGAGCTTCCACACCATTCAGTAGTTTGATAGATATCTATGAATAATAATCAGAAGTTTTACACCAATTCAAGTCTGGCTATTTTAAGCAAATACGAAATTCAATTCAATGCAATTATTGAAACATTCTGTTGTAGAACAAATTTAGAGTAAACAAAATTTATTTAAGACTATGTGAGAACTCAGTGGCACAGAATTTTACTGAGAAAAGTTTCGTTCGAGAAATATCAGATTTTCATTTCCGACCATCAATTTATGCGCAAACTACCACGTCATAATTATACGTCATACTCGTTTCGTTCCATTCTATGTGATTTAAACTGAAATTTGTTGCTTTATTCTATTATATAGCTTTAATAAGAATTGGAAAATATTTCCTTTTAATGACAAATAATATTCAATCGATCATTGTTATAATCTAGCCTAATTTATAGTAACGACTTTCCAATATTTTCTTTATATCTCAACAAAAAAAAAAGTAATTTTCGAGAAATGAACATCAAAATATGTCAAAACATGCATTATCATATCCTATCTACTACCATATTAAGAGAGATAACTTGATTGTCTTGATAGAAAGTGAATATTTGATCAGATAATAGAGCGCATTTTTTTTACTTTGAAAAAACATTAATTTCAAATATTCTAATACAATATCATGAATTATGCTAGAACGCCTATGATATTTCATATACAATTTTATTCAGGATCTACGGAAAATGCAAGCAGTCACGTGTGAAATCCTTCTTGTCTTGTATGAATTCCAAGCTCGGCTACATTTTACATCGCTGATACCTCCAATCATTGTCTCATGCAATATCTGTCAGGTGTAATATCAGATTCTGTTGTTGATGGTAGCAATGGAACTGGAACCGGGAGCAACCAGTTAAACTTTCCTTACGGTTTTTCATTGAATTTCTCATTAGATAGTTTTTTTGATTGCTAACTACAATTCTCACAATGTTGTCTGTTGGATATTGGGTGCTATTAGCTGGACTTGTGTAGCGAGAATCACTGGCTCGTTTGGCAATGTATCGATGCACTTACAAGATCACATGGAAAATATGTACGTAGCTGATACGAATAATCATCGTATTGAACTTTTCTTGATTGATCAGCCGAATGGTATAACAATTACCGGATTTTACAGGTTCAAATTGTACGAATCCTACCTCGTTGAATTGGTCGTATGAGATCATCCTCGATTGTCAGCTTAATTTGTACGCGGTAGAGTTGAATTGATTCATAGAAGCGTGCCTAAAGTTCAAACACATTTATTCTAGTTGTTTTAAATTTCTGCATTACTCTCATATTTAATGACTTCAGGGGTCATGCAGTTATAATGAATGAAAGATACAGGATATAGCAAAAAGCTTTCAACATAATTCCTTCACAATTATAGTGGATCTTCTCGCAAATAAGTTGTCGTGTTTATATGCATCCAACGCCGCATAAATGTATTCATTCTATGATATTGAATTCAAATTAATTAGTTAAAAAATGACGTTCAGTGTGAAATTGGTGGTAGAGATCTTTGTTTGTTTAATTGCTTATTCATATGTTTTTAGCATATCTGTCTGAAAAAATTGCCCAGAATCCAACGAAGAACTTTCAAATCTTTGTAGGGCAACATTATTCAAAGTCGATGAATTGCAAAAATAATTGTTATGACTCATGCACTACAGGATAAGCTTGTCTAAATTCTCTTCAATAATGGCATTACATTAATGAAACGTAACAAGTAATAAATCCATGATCTTTTTCATTAGCATATTACTATTATTAATTTTCTAAACTTTTGACATGCTTATTTCATAAAAAAAAACATTGTTTAATTTATTGTATACTCCATTGAATTTATCAGAGTTTTGTAGAAGAAATCAAACATAGAAAATTTGAGTCATAAAACACCAGATCATGGCATGGTTTACGAAAATTAGAAAGAAATAACAACTATGTAATAAAGTTATACTTTTAGTTTAAACTTTTACATACATGTATATATGTAATCACTAATCTGTCGCAAATATTGAAGGGTTCAGGAACAGTAGAAATTTGTCTTGCTTCATACTGATCCTAAGTTACTAAACTATGTTTTCATAGAATTAAAGAAAAAAAAGCATGGTCAACTATTAATTTTCAATGCATGTTATCTTGAGAAACAAAGTGTTTTAAAGAAAATTTCATACGATAAAACATAAAATGGTTTGATGTTATAAAGAAGAACATATCGATTATTAAGCAAATGAGTTTGACAAGGTACTATCCTTTCTCTTCTTATGTAATGTAAGCATAGATAATTTTAATAGATCAAAACTATTTAAAGTAATCAATCAGAATTGTAAAAATTAAATTTGAACTTATTGAAATTTTAAAATTATTTGAAGTTTTAACTTCAATATTTAGTAATAAAAATGTCCTGTGAATTTTCCTTTTTTTTTATTTCAATCATCTTGTGCAATAACAAATGATACTTTAAATTTGATTGATATGTAGAAAATAAAAAATAAAAATATATTAAATAAAATAAAATAAAATTTAATTAATCGATAGATTCTAATTGAAGATCAAAATCAATTTTCGATTGAATAGATTGTTGAAGTTTATATTTTCCTTGTTCAGATAATTGACAATCCCATATCCAAAATGTTTTTAATGATTGATTATTTCTAATCATATTAACAATATAATCAATACTTGTATCCGTTATTAATTTATTTGAATATAAAGATATTTCTTCAATTACTTTATTATTAAATTGTATAACTTGAGATAAATATTGAATAGATTTATCAGTTATTTTATTATCTTGTAATCCAAATACAACTAAAGTTTCATTTATTTTTAACATATTTGATAAATAAATAAGACCTTGATCAGTTATTTCATTTGAAGAAAGAACTAATTCTTTTAATGTTGAATTTTTAAATGAAAGTGATTCTGATAAATATTTTATAGCTATATCAGATAAATGATTTTTTGAAATACTCAATTTTTTTAATGTTGTATTTATATTTAAAGAAGAAGATAATATTGATATTGAATATGATGTTAAACAATTATTCCATAAAATAAGTGATTGACATTGTTTATTAATTAAAGCTGTATTAATAACAATATCAATATCATGATCATTTATTTTTTGTCCATTTAAATTTACAATTAAACTTGTTTGACATTTGTCAATGAATTCTTCAAGTTGATTATTTTGATAATTACTTTTATCAGCTATTTCTAGAAAACAAATTTGTTCATGTCATTGTTTCTTTCTAATATCCAAACATATCTTGTTCTTGAAGTTTTATAGTTTGATATCAAAAAAAAAAGAAAAGGATAATCTGTCGAATTATAATCAGTCAATGTCCAGAAAAACTTGGTCAAGACTTATTTTTAGTAAAAAATTTCGCTCTCAAATTGACGCGATTAATAAGAAAATCAATTTTCAAAGTTAAGTTCATATGCAGCACAATTCTTCATTGAAGTTCTTGCAATAGGATCAATATAGCTATTCGCAATTGGCATAAACCGACCCAAACGCTCGGGTTCGAATTCAGATTGGGTCTTAACTATGATCATTTTCAGTTAATTAATAAAATGAAGTAGAAGTGAATTAAAAGGATAGATCTACGCAAATACTTCTATGATTGTTTATATGCCTCAAAAAATGCTTGGGGAATTTTCCAAATACCTAATACTGTCTAAACCGGTATGATAATTTCCGAACTTCATAACCGAACCAGAGTTAGAAGGCGGGCTTGGTGCATGCCTAATTAACAGAAAACGACGATTTAAGAAAAGAAGTAGATGAAGTGTCTTAGATAACATTAATTTTCCTGATAGAAACAATAGTCGACATTCTTGAACTTATTTGTTCTAGTTTCTTGATCTATTAGTCAAGATTCTTTTAATGGAATAAGAGAAAAATACTATTGTCTGACTTTTAAAACAAATGACACGTGATATCTATCTATGAATATATAGAAAAATAAATATCTGTAACTTATTTACTCATCTGTATATTGCAACAACTAATAGCAGTTGTAGTTAATTTAATGAATAAGAACCGTTTTATTCATATCATGTATTAAATGTATGTCAATATCAGTTAAATGAATATATACGGTAGCAAAAAAAATACATTTATTAGTCTATTATTAAGTCAAATTATAGTTGATTTTAGAGTTTTGACAAACAATATATCAGAATAGAGGACTTCACGACAGATTAATCATTATTAATTTCAGACCATGAATATGAATAAAACGAATTGTAATTAAAGATACGTATTTTTAATGTAAATCAATTTCTTTTTTGCTTTGAGATGAACATATCACATTTATAGTATGACTATGCAATAATTTTTTTAATATTTTAATTGTGTATGTGAGCTGTAGACGTAGTTCTAGGCGTCAGTCTTTTCTTCACAGCCACACACTCACACCCAAAACATTATCGCAAACGTGTTAAAAACCTACTTTTTATACCAACCTACTACCATCCATTTATTTATAAAAAGAAACCAAGGCCACAGTGCTCGTATGTGTATCATGTCAGAAGTGTGCTTTTTTATTACCAATTTTAAAAAACTGCAGATCAAGGATCAAAGCTAAATAATAAAATTTTAATAATCAAAGATCTAAGTCAGATATTAGGCTTTGGAAGTCATGCCATAGAAAGTTAACAACCTAGGAGAGAAGAAAAGGATTCGATTTTGAGTCCTAATTATTAAAATATTATTACTTAGTTTGATTCTTGATCTCGGTTTTTTTTATAAATAGATGGGTGGTAATGAGGCAAAAGTGGACGATGGTTGGTACAAAAAGTAATTTTTTGACACGTTTGCGAGGTTTTTTTAGTATTCTGTGGTAGTGAATATAGATTCTCAAGATCTATCATTTCGATGACACCTCTGTAAACACTGCGTTGATAGTGGGTGATAGCGTGTTTTACTAATATCTTCTTGTCAGGCGAGACAATTTTCACTTCATCGGCCAAGATTCGATCTACATGAATCTTGTCAGAAAGTTAAAATCTGTTTCTTTTTTCAGGCAAGAATTGTTTATCTGAAGTAGACGAAAAAAGAATCTTGACTAATTATATGAAGAAAAACAAGAATCTTCAAAGAATAAAGACATGCATGTTGATTAACGAAGCTTTCAACATAAGATAGACTCACAAGTTGACAATTTTACTCACTTGTTTTCCTCATTTATAATTAGTGAGCAATCTATTAGAATAAAAGAGTAAATGATTTGACATGAATAAATAAGAGAAGATAATAACTATGATTAATTTATTTAGCGACGAAGGCAGAAATGACTCAAGGAAGTTGAGAGAAGTAGAATGAATATGAAAATGATTAGTTTTAACAATTGAATAGTATTTAGACATATGCTTAGTAGTAGTGCCAGGGAGTTGGCAGGAGGATCTTGAGCTCTTTCCTAAGATTGAAACGCTCTATCATTAAAATTACAAGAATATATCCCTTTTTAGTTTTAGATGAAAACTTCCTCCAGAAATTTTTTATGACTCATCACTAGATTTATTTCAAGAGAAATAAAGAAACAATGACGATTTTATACAGAATATGTATGATATCCTGTCTGTCTTTTAATTTGCTATCTCATGCAGAAACTTCTCATTCTATTATGTTGTATTTATCTTCGATAGAAAGTTGCTGAAAGAAAAATTTATTTTCCAAAAGACAGATCTCGAATTGTATACAACTTATTTTTATCACACGTTCATAAATAAAATATCGCAACAAGCAAGGGAAGCCCCTTTAAAAAATGGGTCCACACTTTTCATGTAATGTAGAATAACGATACAAAATATCAACCCCTATATTATATCTCTTTACTAAACACGTGTTGCAACAATCATTTTTTTTTCAGCTGATAGAAGAAATATTCGTACAACAAATTTGCAATTTTTTTGTTGGCTCATCAAATAAAGTTAGTTATTTAATAAAGCAAGTCAACTAAAGAACAACGATTTATAACATATAAAACAAATATATGAAAAAGCTTTCATCATAATCTCTCGCCCTTAATGATTAGATAGACTAAACTATCGAAATACTTGTCAAGCTCTATGATGCTATAGGGAGTTTCGTCCATTGTTTCTGTCTGTCACACCGAAAGGGATGGTTTGCTTTTCTAATTCTATCCTTCATCATTCTTTTCATTAATTATTTATTAATGAGTTATCATTGATCTACTCTATATACTTCAACACTCCTTTTAGATCGTGTTTCACAATATGAACGAACGAGAATCTTACCAAGAAATGGACGTGGGTAAAGTTAGTACCAGATTCGAGTTTTTGCCGTCCGGATTCGTTCATGTACTTGGGTTATATTTCGTTCAACTTGAGTTAGATGCAGAATTTTACGGCGAATCCGATGGTATAAAGATCAAGGGAAGTCATCAAGCAAAAACTAACACTTGACCTCGAAATACTGAATTTTTCAAAATTTTTTGAAAAGTATTTGCTGTCTGGATTCGCTATTTTACTTGAATTGAGTCTAAAAATGGTTGGGTTGGATTCAGCATGAAATTCTGCATCGAATGGTATCGATTTAGTATGGAGTCATCGGGTGAAAAATTTTTCATATGAGTGAGAGTCACCACGAGGAAGTGTGGCTGGGTGAGTTGAAAAGTTTCTGCTCGATGACTCCATACTAAATCAATATCATTCGATGAAGAATTTCATGCTGAATCCAACTCAACCATTTTTAGATCCAATTCAAGAAAAATAGCGAATCTGGACAGCAAACGCTTTTCAAAAAATTTTGAAAAGTTCAGTATTTCGAGGCCAAGTGTCAGTTTTTGCTTGATGGCTCCCCTTGATCTTTACACCATCGGATTCGCCGTAAAATTCTGCATCTAACTCAAGTTGAACGAAATATAACTCAAGTACATGAACGAATCCGGACGGCAAAAACTCGAATTTGATGCTAACTTTACCCACGTAAGAAATGATTGCCTAATAAAACTTTCTAATCAAAAATAAAATCAACTGGTGAAATCTGTTAATAATCATTATGGTATCAGTTGTAACTTACGAAAAAGAACATCAGCTACTATTAGAATAATGTTGAAACACTGCAAAGATGAATAATACAGTTCAAGAAAAAAAAAGAGCCAAACTAAATTGCGGGAAACTATATATAAAATGATATCTCATAATTGTGATATTATTTTAGATAATGAAAAATATTTCACATTAATTGTGAATAGTATTATAGGGAATTAATATTAACTATGCAATAGTAGGCTTACTATGTGATTGAATAATTGGTTGATATAATTTTGTTTCTAATCGTTTAATATTAATAGTAAGTTGATCAATTTTTATATTATATTGAGAACATTGTTCAATAAGTTGTTGAATATCTACTTGACTTTGTTCGCAATATTGTTTTAATTGTTCGAATTCTTGTTTATATTGTAATAATTGTTCTTGTAAATATTGATTTTGTTCATTTAAATCATTATTTTCTTCGTTAGTTAGAAGGCATTGTTGATTAAGTTGTTGATTATTTTCTTGAATCTGTTCGCAATATTGATTTAATTGTTCAAATTCTTGCTTATATTGTAATAATTGTTCTTGTAAAGATTGATTTTGTTCATTTAAATGGTTATTTTCTTCGTTATTTAGAAGACATTGTTGATTAAGTTGTTGATTATTTTCTTGAATCTGTTCACAATATTGTTTTAATTGTTCAAATTCTTGTTTATATTGTAATAATTGTTCTTGTAAAGATTGATTTTGTTCATTTAAATGATTATTTTCTTCGTTAGTTAGAAGACATTGTTGATCAAGTTGTTGATTATTTACTTGAATCTGTTCGCAATATTGTTTTAATTGTTCAAATTCTTGTTTATCTTGTAATAATTGTTCTTGTAAAGATTGATTTTGTTTATTCAAAGAATCATTTTGTATTTGTTCTTGTTGATAAAGTTCATTTAAAGTTTCATTTTTTATTTGAATACGATTAAATTCATCTAGATTTTCTTGAAGAAATTTTATTTTATTTTCAAAATTTCCAATTAAAATATTTGTTAATTCTAAAAAATCATAAAGATCTTTTAATTCAATTTCAAAATTTTTCATTTTATTTATTTGTTCATTTAAAATTTGATTTTCATTTTCAAATTTTTCCATTTCATTTATTTGTTTATTTAAAATTTCATTTTCATTTTCAATTTGTTGAATTTGATTTTGTTGTTGTTGAAATTTATTTTCAAGAGTTTGAAAATTTATTTGAAGTTGATTTAATTCATCAATACGTCGAACATCATTAATAAGTTTAGTAAGAAAATTTCGAAGTTCTTCATATGGACAATTATTAACATGTTGATTTAATTCATCAAAATGTCCAGCCCATGGGCATTGAATATCATTAGCTGAACAATGAACAATTCTTTTTGGACATTTTTGTTCAATATGTTCGAAAAAATTTGATCGTTGAATATTTTCTTCAGAACAAGAACAACATTTCACAAGAAGTTTACCAAGCATATTTCGTAGAATTGGACTTTCATTTTTCAAATCTGTATTTGTTAAAGATTTTTTATTACATTTTAAACAATTATTCGAATGATTTTCAAGATTAGATTGAATACATTTTAAACAGAATGTTTGTTCACATGGAGAAGGTAAAATAACAGGATCAATAAATGGATTTTTACAAATTTCACATATAAGATCATCATTGATACACGATTTGTTCATATATTCATAATTATCCATCGAAAATTTTATTTCAAAATTCTAAATTTATCAATTAAATCATAATTTTTCAATATTAGAATAAAACAAACCATCAATCGAATTTCAATTCAAAGATCATTTTTATATATTAAAAAACTCAAAAAAAAAAACTCCGAATGTTTTTTGAAGAGAAAAATCAACTTATTTTGTTTTATACAAAAATCTTTTATGCGTGATTTTTAATTTTAAGGGTATTCCCTTTTCCTCACTCAAAATTTTTGTATAGTTTCAAGTAGTATCTATCTACTGAATACATTTTAAGACCCAAAAATTATCTTTAAACGTTAAGAAATTTGAGAAGAAATCAAATTAGCGAAAACTGTACATTTAAAACAATTTTTTCATGAAAAAAGTGCAGAAAACCTCCATTTTTCATCGTAGTTCATTCGATAGAGTTGATAATTTTTTCAAATATACTAGACACTTTTTCAGAATGCGTATGATTTTTGGTAGCTCTTACAAAAAACTCTATTTAAAAAAAAAAAGCTTTTTTTAAGGATATCTTCGATATTTTACCTTTTATTCGAAGGACAAAAAACTAAAAAAACTCCACTTCAAATAAATCGAACATAGTATCTTAAAGAAATGGAAGCGGAAATTGGGACTATTTTTCGCCATTATGATCCCAGTATCTCATAGAAGACAGTATTCGGAAATTTTGAGTCTATGACAACTTTTGCTGTACTCATCAAGATCTACCTGTCCTGAAAGTTTCAAATTTTTCCGACGAGTCGTTCTTCAGAAACTCTGGAAAAGAGGGGAAAACCTTAAGAAATTTTAAATATTCTTTGAACAATTTATTAATTGAATAAATTTTTTTCAATCTATAGAATCTAAACCGATATTAGAAATAATCATTGATCATAACTCGAAAATCACAATTTGCTTTTTTTTTATTCCTCAGTCAAATAGATATTTAGATCTATTCTATACAGTGTTGGTCAATAATACAACAACAAGCATTTTTTATGCTTCATTTTGTTAAAGTATTTAGGACAGAATTTCATATATCACTAACATCTCATTAGAATATATAAACTATTTCCTAATTGTAGTTCTAGAAGATTAAGCAAACGATGATAGAGAAATGTGTTTCAAAATAGATTAAATAAAATAATTTTCATATGATTAACAACAACAGTGGCATTGTATTTTCATATTTGAATCGTTCAGAGATTGTGATAACAGCTTGTTTCTCATTTTCTTTGTTCTTAAATTTATCTATCTATCGACACGTATGCATTCAAGTGTGTTCTATCAGAATATCAATTGAAAATTGTTTTATGACTTATTTATTTTCATAAAGAAATACTTGTATAAATAAAAAAAAGTGTATTTTCGTCCTGGTCAAAACTATAAGAACAAATATACCGAGGAGAATCAATCCGATAGTCAAATCTAATCTAGAACTCTGCGGAGTCAAACTTTTGCACTCCGGCTATAAGAAACTTTGATGGCTAGCATTTATACATCTTTTTGTGCAACTTATTAATGAGAATGTCTCTCTGATGTTGTTTTTCTTGAAACTAATTTATGAATCTTTATAGAGTAGTATATTTTTGTTCATTACTTAACATATGAAAATTCAATTTGTTATTATATCAGAGTAAAAATACTTGACTATTTTTACTGACATGAGTCCGGAAAAAAAATTTTTCACAATCACTTCGACTAGAGATCAAAACTGAATCGAATTCTATCTAACATATTCGGTTTATAATGAGGGTGTGTGTTTGTCTTAGTATTCTATTATAGTATTTTTTCATGATAATTATATCAAACTTGGATGAATTTTTATTATCTGCTTCATCGTGCACAAAGTATAGTGGATTTTTTGTATATCAGAAATAGTTTTCGAGTATTTTTTATATTGAGACCAACTCGAAACTAAATGAATTATATACCAGTTTGTAGCCGTTGCTTCGCTCTATCGAATGGTATATAAATGAAATCGGCTCGCATGAAAAAAAAATTCAAACGGATCAAAATTATGTTAGATAGTATGCAATAAAATCATGTTCAATGGGATACCTAACAGAAGAGTGGTGTTATTGATGACCTCGATAATTCGTAAAAAAATAAAACTCTTTATATGAAATGATGCAGAATTAAATGCTCTTGCTAATGAAGATAAATTGAGCTTTCAATATTTTCAAAAGCTTATCTATTTTGATCAAATATTGAACTACTATGATTGCACTTAGAACACATCAAAGATCCCAAAAAGACCTATATGATATTTTACAACATTTTCGTTTAAAAATAAGGCTCAACATGCATAGTTTTACTTAGATCTGCTTTAATAAAACTTGTCTCATTTTTCTAGAAAGAATTATCAATGAAATATCAATAAATTCCTAGTTGTCTATTTTTTATAGCTTATGCGCCCCCGTCCTTTTTCTTTAAAATTCAAAAAGATATTGCTTGGTAGCTAAGACGTTGAACATTGAAAACGACTGTAGATTATCGTATTTCTTAGTATACAATACGTAGAAATTCGCTTGTACACAGTGAAATATGGAGTTCACATATTTTGTCCTGAATTGCTCCTATTTTTCTCAGACATTTAAGAATTAGAATTTTAATCGTGTTCTTGAAATCAATTTTAATCATTTCATTATGTTGACAATAACTATGTCAACATTCTGGGTAATTTTCGTTTGACGAACTAGCCATGTCATCTCTTTTGTTTAGCAACTGTATTGTAATTCAATTAAATACTTAGATAATCGAATATCAGTTTTATAACTCTTACATGAATGTTTATTTGAACAAACAAAAATCTAAATTTCTCTTGTTATTTATCGATGAATAAGAAGAAAATCTTTAAAAAAACTATCAAAACTCTTGACTGAAACATAATAGTTAATAAACTTACAAAAATAAATTCCAGTTGAAATTAATGGTGTAAGTTGATTGGTTGAGCTACTAGTGACGATGAAATTTTTTGAAAAATTTTCAACTACGGATCTCAATAGCTGCGCAATTATTGAAATTTGTCACCTATCGCCACTGAAATGACAAAGAGAGTAAGATTGAATTTTGGCCAACAACGACAATCTTTGCACCGACGTATTTTTTTTTTATGTTGACATGATTATTTATGAAGAGAAAAAAAAATATTAAACATTGTCAATAAAAGAAAGAAAGAAAAACCTTCTCCTCTTTATCGGTTGCACTCGTAAAAAGACATGATTTCTTATCTGAATTCTTCGTTTAAACTAAAAGAAAATATTAATTCTTTTTCATATAGCAAACTTTGCAACCATTTATATGAATACTAAAAATTCTTTTCATCTTTTATCAGATTGCAATTTTTTTTCTTTCAAAATCAAAATTGAAATAAAAAACATTCTTTTACATATATATTTTATGGTGTGCTTAAAAAATATCGAAAAAAGGGGTGGGTGTGGCTGTGTGGTGTGGGCGGGTGTGGGTGTGGATGTGGGTGTGGGTGTGGATGTGGGTGTGGGTGTGGGTGGATGTGGGTGTGGGTGGGTACATTCATCGAATCGATGGCTGTTTTTATATAAGCTGCAAATGATTCAGACACTCTTTTTTCCCACAGATAAAGTTACCAAATATTATTGTTAAGTATTATTTTTCACCCCATGAAAAATATTTTATGCGAGGGACACCGGGGGATTTCATCGTAAATCCACCACCTCTCAGTTTTCATTGTTAATATTATGGAAAGATAGAGCTTGACATTCTACACCCTTCTGTATATTTAGTGTTATCTATTCTTGATCAGAAAAAGTTTTTTCCAAGACTACATTGTCTGGGGGTCTATGAGTCTTTCGTAGGTTTGCAGTGTTTCGGATAATAACTGTAATGTTCATAATTTTTTTTCTATTTTAATCTAAATGCCAAAGCTAATAACATAGATCAATGCACTTCTTCACGCTCTACAAAACTACGGTGTGGTGTGGTGTGACTGTGATTTTGGGTGGATGCAGGTGACTGGGTGTGGGTGTGTGGGTTAGGTGTGCACCAGTTCCAGTAACTGGATCCCAGTCAGGACTGGAACTGGTGCATACCTAGTGTAGGTGTGGGTCAAGAAGGAAAAGCAGATTTTAAGCCTTGAAATCGTTGGAAATCTTTAGAAATCTTTAGAAACCTTTAAAAATCTTTAGAAATCTATAGAAATCATTAAAAATCCTTTGGAATCTTAAATGGAGGCATGTTTCAACATCAACACAGTAGTGAATTGTTAGGATTCGATGGAATTTGGTATTGATCGGATTTCATATTATTGTACTGGTGCTATTATATCCCTAATTTTTCAGTTAAACAAAGGATCTTTTAAGTAAAGAAAGATTTTTTTTATCAAGGTTTGGTAAAGATTTTCGGATGCACGTAGTTCGAATACGCTGTTAGTTTTTTGGAAAGTTCAAACTTGAATGCTGAATCAAGTAAACGAATTTCGTCTACGAACGGCCAAACTTAATGCAGAGCATAACTTTTTCAAAAATATCTTCCTTTAATCGAAACTGCAAGTATACAACTCTAAGAAACTAATTGTAGATTCAGATTCCTCAATCTGCATTACCTATAACCAAATTTCATAAGAAGTCGCTATTTTCATGAAAGACCCTTTCTTTTGCGAAAAAAATCAAGAACGTGACAATAACTATATCATTATTATCAATGCGCATCAGTATCATCGGTGGGTGAGTGCAATTGGTATTGAGAGATACATACTTAAAATCTTTGTAAATCACTTCCAAAATATTTAATGCCATCAAATATCTTTGAAATACTATATTCCCGTTATTTAGAGGAGAGGCAACAGGAAAAGTCAAATAAGTGCTTTTTTTATGCATGTATGGATATTTTTCTGCAGTCACATGTTGCGTATATATTCGAAATATCAGATTAACTATGTAATATGGCTATGTATACTTTGAATTATACTATCGACTAATCATGTTAATTTTAGTTTTTCCTTCATCAAGTTTCGGGTTTTTGTGCTGTAGATTCGGTCATGTAGTATGTCCGCTAAATTATTTGTCTAGTCAATCTTTAAGCCTTCGAGTTTTTCGTGACTTCTACGTTTTCGACATTCAACTATCAATCAAACTTTCGCTCTGACCTCAATTTCACTCCTTAAACTGTCTCCTATATTTAGTTTTCGTCGTATGGACTTTCTCATGTGAAACTTTTAACTAATCACATTTTTTTTTCAAGGACAATCTTCGCCCAATCGAAGTTTTCATGTTTTGAATAGAGTCAAATATAACACTTTATTTATGTCTTGTTCGTGTCCACTCTTTGCTTTGTTGACTTTGACCAATCAACCACTTGTCTAAGTTGATATTTTATAATCGTCAATGCAGTTTATTGTCTCTTTGGTTAGTTCCATCGTAGCACTAGTATTTTCAATTTTCAGTCGAGAATTCTGCTATTTATAAGCTACAAATATTATGAAGAGAAGCACAATGTTACTTGAGCAGGTTGTACAAATCAGAAAGTAATTTGTTCAGGAGATAGATTTCACAAAGAAAGCGGTCAGCAGTGAATGTCAACCCTGAGAGGTGCTGACGAACGACTAGCCACTGATATTAATGGTTAAGTGATTATGCGCTTTAGACAATTGTTGTAAAAAATCTAACATGCTTGTTGAGAATACTTCACTAAGATTTGTTAAACATTGAATTGCAATACATGGTAGATTCATCAGAAAGACCATAAAATTTGAGACAGAAATGATTCTGTATAACAAAATGTTTTGTTTGAAATTTTTCATCGAGAATTTTTCCGCTATAAATTGAATGATTCATCACAATCAGCTAAATCTAAATCGACTGAATCGTAGGCTATTTATGATCTTTTGAGAAAGTAAACATGAGCATGTGAGTGACTACTCGTAAATGGTGTTCCAAAGAAGCGTGGTCGAATATCTGATCATGAATGTGAAAGTTTCAAGGAAGAAACGCTTCGCAAAACTCGATTCTGTAAAACAAATTGTCTACAGATTGCATTGGATATGCTAAACTAAGATACTTGTGTTGTCAGTTAAGGAGATGAGATATATTGGGGTCAAAGCGAAACTCTCACTACCAAACTTATAAATTTAAAATGTAAGCTGCGGGTGTGGGTGTGGGAGGATGTATGTGGGTGTGGGTGTGGGAGGATGTATGTGGGTGTGGGTGTGGGAGGATGTATGTGGGTGTGGGTGTGGGAGGATGTATGTGGGTGTGGGTGTGGGAGGATGTATGTGGGTGTGGGTGTGGGAAGATGTATGTGGGTGTGGGTGTGAGTCTTAGATTCACTCACACCCACACTCACACCCACACCCACACCCACACCCACCCACACCCACACCCACATCCCACACCCACCCACACCCTACCCACACCCACCCACATCTCACACTCACACCCACCCACATCCCACATCCACACCCATCCACACCCACACACCCATACCCTACACAGCTCATAATAGATAATGAATCATACTGATAATTAGGCGATAAATTCACTGCAATCTCTAAAATTGCTGCACTATTCATTTTATGCTTTGATCACGTGATTGATTGAAACATAGATAATTTGAGTTTTCGACAAGAGCAACACGAAAGAAGCTCGTTGCTATGAACTGTAAATATCTCGAGCGGTAGATCGTTGTATAATTAATCGAAGGCTTCGCACCACATTTCGCAATCGAGTGAAATTCGAATTTATAGACGTTTATAATATATATTCTCCTGTTTATTTTCAAATAGATGGGCCCTGAGGAAGATTCACTTTTTTTTTGAAGAACTATTTTATTAATCTGTTAGGATTAATTTCAATGAAAATTATAATCCGTAAACAGGGCTATCATAGAACAACCAGATTAAGATAAAAATTTGAATGTTTTTTGTTTAAATTTAACTTTATCACCAGATAAATTACGTGTTACTTCATGATGCAGGTTGAACATCTAAATAAAATTTTGTTTACTACGGATAAAATTAAAACTTTAGTTTTATACTTTTGCCTTTCTTACCAAAACTACCTGGTAAAACTTTAACGTTATATTTATAATTATTTAATGTAACCCAAGGAGCATGAACACCAACAACATTTGTTAATGGATCGTCAGTTGTTGGTTGTCCAGTTAGAGTAAAAAGTAAACGAGGATCTTGAGATAATCGTTTTGCCTTTTCTTCTTCATCTTCATCGATAATTGCAATGGCTACAGATGCTGATTGTGGTCGATATTGAATTTTATTATCTTTGTGTACTCAAAAAGTGAGTACACTACTAAAATCGGTCAGTGTGTCCGGCCGTCCGTTTATTCGATAACTTTCGAAAGGAGAGTCCGATCGCGATGAAATTTTCTACACAGTTCAGTCTTAACAATATCTCGGTCGAATTCGAAGATGAGAAGGATTGGCCGAGCCCTTCCTGAGTTATTGCAAAAATACTCATTTTTCCCTGCACCTTCCCTATGGAAAGATCGACCCATCCCCACTTTCGTAAAAGACTTTTCCTATCATAGTCAACTAAAACCCCAACTATTATATACCATTCGATAGAGAATTTCACGAGCTACAAAATGGTATATAAAACATAAAGAAACAAGAAGGTTGGCTCATCTATCACAAAGATAATTAAAGAGAACTAGGTTAGATTTTTGTCCACGATCTAATTGATCCACAAATAGAACTCTATCTTCCGATCACAGTGATGATACTTCGAGGTTTTCTGAGATGGAGAACTCGAATCTGTATTCCACTTCCATCGAAATACTATTGGTTGAGCAGTGACCAATAGAAATCAAGTTATAGGAAAAACGACTTTCTTAGGGTAAATCAAGGGGAAGAGTTCAGATTTGAGCTGTATTCGGTCCCAAGTCCTATTGGTTTGGCAATACTCAATAGAAATCAACGGTTTAGAGGGTAGATTCCCCAGTATAATTTTGATGTCCACACGTTCTAGAACGACTCATCTGTCTCATTCACTTTTTGAAGTACACATAACTCTCGGATTTAAATCCGAAGTTTCCGCATTTATTTTTTTGTACTTTTTGTTTTTGCTGTTGTTTCTTTTTTTATTCACTACCAGCTGAGTCTAAAAGTTGTATTCGAACTTGTCGACCTTCTTCATTTTGATCTTTATATTTTTAATTTTTTTCAAACGTGCTCGTTGACCAAGTTTTAACCCTTTGAGTACCGGCGACGCGAATTCGCGTCCTGATAGTTTAGGGTTTGAATAACTTTAGAAAACATGATCGTTTGATTATTTTATGATGTGAATTACATGGATATTTGCGTTTAGGATATTTGTACGGTTAGGACTATCTGTACTTAGTGATGAATATTAGTTGTTCCCTAATATTTCTATCGACCACTATGTGATTCAATGAATTAGAACATAAGTCAATGGACAACATTTCCCAAGAAAGAATAATCGTTATCAACAGGATTTTTCATATTAACACAATCATTCAAGAGTGTTATCTATAGTAAAGGTTCTGACCAAATGATCACATTTGATAACATTTTCCTTCGCGCATTGAATCAACAGAGGCTCAACTAAATTCAAGAAGAAAATGTTACATTTGTGCCAATACTGTGAGAAGAGCCAGATCAAGAAGAGATACTTCGTATGAATGCATTGAATGTGATGTAGGATTGTGTCTTATGGATTGTTTTAAAGACTATTATACTCTACAAGCATTTTAATTCATGTACTTTGTGATATTTTTTGCGAAATAAACGTTAGTTTGAAATTATAAAAATTTTTATTATATAAAAATAATCCGGTACTCAAAGGGTTAATTTAGCTCTTAAACAATAAAAAAGTGTTTTATTGATAGAAAAGGAGCATGAACATTCACATCAGAACACAATATTATCAATTATTAGATTTTAGAAACTCTCGCATGTGCATCTGATCCCATCTTTTAAAGCTTTTTAATTTACATAATTTCTGAAGACGTTTGTTTTTATTCTTTTCCATGTAAGGATCAAGAAATTGTTCACCTTGTTTTATGATAAGACCAATAAGGAAGGAACCATTCGAGTTAAACAAGCTGCAAGGAAGAACATAAATACAAATTTCGATAATATTTTTCTTCGATTGTTTTGAATGATATCTTGTCTAGTTGAATACCTTAATCTATTTCTATACAATTTGCCATGTTAGGTTTTGAAATACAACTGACATTCTCCTTTTCATTTGACTTTTTTATTTATATTGTACATAATGTTTATTCGTTTCTTCATCCAATTAAAAAGGAGAGAATTATCTAAAAGATTTATTGATGTACTTTCTTTCTTTTTAACCAAATTGGTCTGTCTGCTCACTGCAAGACTTACAAGTGCAATCTTTGAACTGGCTGCTAAATCCAACATACATTTTACATCGGTACGACGATTGATCTCCAAAGGAGTTAAGACTTGTCTGAAATGTCATTAATCGTGGAAGACGAACACGTGATTGATCATTTGCTGAAGCATAATATTGTTCATACTGAATTTGACTATTTTCCGGTCTGAAACATTCCATTGTTGACGCAGCTTCACCAACAGATAATAGATTTTCGATCAGTTCCATCGTTGATGTAGTTTATAACTTTACAAGTATATCTATCGTCTGTTTTTTGAACGTGTCTTTATACGCTTTGCGTCATATAAACAGAAGGTATTTATTTTCGTTCTCTTTCTTGATTGAGTAATATCAAAT